TTACTGTAAAATATCTCATAAAATGCACTGCTGTAAATAAATTTAAAATATCCAGATTCGTATGCATTAATCTGTACAGAACCATTTTTTTAGAGTGAAGAAAATGCTCCTTAGTTACTCATTCAGGAGATTACATAGTATGTATATATGTTTATACACAATATGTATATATGTTTGTATTACACAGCATGTATATACATGTACTAAGAATCTGTCCTACTAGGAAAAAATTAATATTTGTTAAAAACGCGCTATAGCATAAACTAAAGTATGAGCATTTTCTTATATTCATTTCTTTATATACTACCTAGATATTATAAAATGCAATATAAAACTTCCCTGTATTTATATTAGTATCTCAATCCGTTTAAAATTCTTCGCTTAGGTTTAGCATTCTCTCACCAAAATACTTACTCTTAGCTTTCAGAATGCAAATATATGCCCAAAGGATTTTTGAAAAAGCTTCCTTACTGTTTTTAAAAAACGGAAACTTAATTTTTTTATAACCTCTTGTGGATTTCTTCCTTCCTGCTCTATTACTCAATCTTCATTTTAAAGTAAGAGCAGTGGAGTATTTTTGGATCTCATTTTCTCGCCAACGTGCTTTTAGCTGAAAAAAATTAGATTTTTTTAGACATGTTTTTTTCAGACCTATCAAGAAATACTTTTTTACGGAGTATTTCTTTTTGCTTCCTTTTAAAACTTCGTTAAACACCTTTCAGCGTGGGTTAATTTTTCTTGAAAGTTTTTTTCGTTGGTTTTAGCTTTAAATATTTAATTACTTAATTTACTGTTTCTTATGTTTTCGCCCTCGATTACTTCTTGTTAATGATGCTAGAGTTCCTTTTTTTGTTGTTTGGTTAACCCAAGGTTGTTTTGTAAATGCCTCACTAAACTTCAGCGCTTTCTATTCTGTACTTTTATAAATAATTCCTTGTACTTTGTAAATGCATTCTAAGTAAAATCTTTTCAGGAATTTATGCAGGAATTTAGCATAACAGGAATTTATGCTAATTGCCATATTCACAATAATAGTGTATTTTAATGAATATTTTGATTTAAATAGTTGTTTACATTATAATGAGATTTCTTAACCCTTTCCTCTCGTCAGATTTCTATTGCTCAAATTAGAAACAAATTTTTTAAGTTCTAATTTTTTTAAAACATTTTTATTGAACAATCAGGAATATTTTAAAGTTAACTATGATTAAATGAATGATTTACTTCCGCAAATGTAAGCGTTAAGTCAATATGAAAATACCTTTTTAAATAAAGGAATACTTTTTTAAAATAAAGGAATAATTCATTTTTGGCTAGAGCCCAAAATTAAAACAATTTTGTTATTGTCATTTAAGTAACTAAATGAAATGTAGTTTATAATAAGTAAAAAAATCCCAATCGTACTAAATTTGTATTTCATAAAGCAAAATTCTGGAAAATATGCAAATTTTACTCAGTCTGTAAACGTGTGATAGGTATTTCCCTTTTTTAAACTTTCCTGTGGATAAATACGCCTTCAGTACACATAACACGCATGAAAGAATTACAATGTTTTCCTTACAGGTAAGTTTTAAAATTTTTCATTGCCTTGTTTCTTCTTGGCCTGTAACAAAGTAACTCCTTTAATTCAAATATTTCTTGCAAATCTCAATTACCAGAATATAAACGAAAAGCAATCTTCCAAACTGCGTTTCTAAACTCAATTCATACAAAATCCTAGTAATTCCTGCTTCACAAAGTTCAATCTCTTTGCGTACAGTGCTCATGCTCTGCTAGTCGAACCGAAGTTCTGAGGAATTTTTAGGTTTAACTACAGAGCCTTGGATGAGACAGCAGTTCCGTATGTATACGCAAGTAGGCGAACTCTTCTCATATTGCGCTGTACGTTATTTTAAATTAAACCAGAAATTGTGGTTCAGATAAATTTGTAGTTATTTTTAATTTAGTTAAGTCACAGGTTAAGTCGTGGGGTATATAAGTATCTAGGTAATGTATCTTAATATTTATGTAGCATAAGGAAGGCCGTCAGGCAAAAATCAGTTTTTCATGTATATTTTAAGCTACGTTTCAGATGATAAGATACCACGTGTAAAATCGTCTAAGAAGTAAATTACCTCATGATGATGAGAGCAATTGATAACTTGGGATTGTTTCAACAGCAAGATCGGAATTTTTAACTGCCTAGTGACTGTTCTCTATCTACCTGCAACTACTGAAATAATTATTTCAAAACAAGCTGCCAGTCTTTGTATTGATGAAATTGGTTTTATACAAAAGTAGTTAATAAACGATCGCGCGAGGACAACTTGAGGATAACAGAAAGGAAATGTCACTTTTCTATTATGTCTGTGTGTGTATGTGATTATGGCAAAGCTTCGAGGGCTATCTGCCTAGAAGGAAGGATGCATTCGTGGAGGATTTTCTAAGTAAAACTGTCTCGTATACACGTTACACATAGAGAAAACCACGAAAACGCCCATGCAGCCAGCCCGTTCACGGGATTCGAACCTCGGACCGAACTACCAGTGTTCAGCGACTTTACCACTCAGGCGCTGGTTTTCCCTTTTCTCTTATGACAGCATGCAAAATAAATAAACAATTACAAATATATATATCAAAATTAGTAATTTTGTAATTTTTAGAATCCTCCTTTATATACATGCTCAAGATTCTAAACTGGAGTTTAAAAGTTTCGAGCTAGAACACTTTGAGAGAGAATCAAATTTTCAAATAAAATAAAAATTCAAAAATGTTCTTAAAAATTATGACACGCATAAAATAACGGTACTTCGGTTGTAAAAAATGAAGAGAACAAATTATATAAAAGAACTAAATAATAAAAATTAGAGAACAAAATTATAAAAATTGGATAAAGTTAAACATATATATATATAAGCTTTTAATAAAAACCTTAAATGCTTAGAATAATAAAAATACATTAAAAATGCAAAATATTTTAAAAAGAAGATGAAAAGTTTTCTCAAGAAAATTCAGAACTTTAAAAGATTTTTTTCATTGATGCAAGGATTTAACGGAACTTGATCAACGAAAATATCCATTTTTATTGCAATCGAATAAACTTTAGCGATGTTTTTGGGTGACATCTGTACGTAAACACAGAATAAAGGGGTTGAACAGAATAAACGGAACTCTTTTTCCCGAAACGGTTTGCAAAAAGGCACTTAAATGGATTCAGAAGAGATTTTTCTAGTGACGTCTATACGTATTTGGCATAACTCAAAAACGAGTAGCCTCAGAAAGTTGAACTTTTGCGTAAAGAATTTCTATAACGTGTAGTTGTGTACCTCTATTTTTGGTTGCAATTGGCAGCGCCAAATATATATATATACTAAATAATATTGATTATATTATCTCCTAAGATTAAACTTTCAGTTTTGTGCACCGAAAAATATGCTTTCTTTTTCGCTGGCCGATTTGCTTGTTTTGGCATAGAAACTATAATTTTAATTGTAAAAAATGTTTTAATAGTTTTAACTGTATTTGGTGTTTTATATTTTTCTATATTTTTTAATTTTCGATAAAAATATTTTGAGGTTTTTATATATTTTTGCCTTGACGCGAAGTGTGAACTGAATTAATTGAATGAGAACTATATCTCTAATGACATTCGAGGAAATAAATTTAATTGAAATGTAGTAGAATGATCTGAAAAGAGGGAATCCATACTTAGTAAATTCTATTTCGAAAGATGTTTTTAAGTAACTTGAATGTATATTCAGAGTAAGTAACAGACACAGTATATATATATATATATATACTCTATTACTCGGCTCCGTGAGCTCAAATTTTTTTTAATTCTTGTATTTAGGTAAATTGTGGATTTTTTTTGCTAAAAATGATTAAATTATGTTGTTGTTTTCTTCGGGTTAAAGTTTTTAATGTCGCTAGTTAATCTGCATGCGATAGTTGTAAAATTATCAACAATTTAAAAGCTGTTTAAGTGCGGCTAAACCTAACTTTTTTACCACAGCTGCTATATTTGTTCACATTTGAAACTTAGCAGATTAGTGAATTACGTCAGCTTCTGCACCTTTAAAGTCTTTTCCCTGTCGGAGTGCGACCAAAAGCGAAACTTTCAAGTTTTGTGCACCGAAAAAATGCTACCTCTTTGCCCGCTGGCCGAATTGCTTGTTTTTGGCATAGAAACTCTAATTTTAATTGTAAAAATTGTTTTTGAAAAAATTTGTTTGTAATTGTATTTGGTCTTTTATATTTTTCTATATTTTTTAATTTTCGATAAAAATATTTTGAGGTTTTTATATATTTTTGCCTTGACGCGAAGTGTGAACTGAATTAATTGAATGAGAACTATATCTCTAATGAAATTCGAGGAAATAAATTTAATTGAAATGTAGAAACAAATGCGTGTAATTTAATATTGCGTAAGGAAGTCATGTGGTGAACATACACATCAGATATTTTAATAATGAATTACGATAGTAAATTTTTTCGAAGAGTATTTCAAGCCGAATTGATATACTTTGCCCGATTGCCCCTTTTGCTCTATTTTTATTTCATTTAATGGGTATATTGTCGTAAAAAGGCAAAATTTAATATGTCATGTCCCAGAATCAAGAATCTTTAAGAGAAGGATTAACGGATAAAACTGTCTGGCAACTTTTCGGATAAAAATATATTTCCAAGTCTTTCTGAATATATCACTATTATTGCTGTATTTTAAACTAAGATATACATAAAAGGCCATATTCCAATTTCCAACAGAAGTCCAATGGGATCAGATTCAGTTAGACAATCGTACTTTCAGAAGAACCGGAGGCTGCTTTTATCCTGTTCTTGGCAGAAAAAGATGTCTATCCCAGCTTAAGTAACATGTCTCCTGATGAAAAGCTGGAACGTTTCCAGAAAGCAAGAATGTCAGCACCGATTTACGTCGATTTTCTGCTCCGTCTTCCACTGTTTTATCTGAACATCTTCTTTTGATCGGCGTGCATGTATATGGGGTAGCGCTTTGAGAAAGGTTTTCCTTGGAGAAAGCAACTTAAAGGATTAACTCCTCTGGTAAACCGTAGGGAAAAAATGCTTTTGATATCCCTTCCTCACTTCCCTTTAAATTTAAGTGGTATTACATTCAGCTTGGCTGTTAGATCTCCTCTGGGAAACCAGTTCAAGTCTAGAATGCTATCTTTCTGAAAAGAGTTATAGCAATTCTTTACTAATATGGTGAGTACTAGCTTCAATAAATAGCAGTTTGCATGAGACACAAACACAGCTTTTATCTATACAACTAGATATTTCAGTAATGGTTTACATCAAACTGGTCTGTTCTTCAGATTTCTTAATTAGGTTCATCGACCACATTTCTTTAAAACAAATTATTTTATTTATTGCATTAACAAATGAGATATGCTTTCATTAATTTTAGCTAGAGAAATATAGAAAGGCACAGAAATATTCAGAAATCATCAATCTCTTTGATTTCTGACAATATTCTTATATGCATTTTTCCAATTATGCATCATTTCCGACTTATTATTGGCAAAAATAAATTTTAAAATTCATATCGAATTGCAATACATTAATTATTATTATAACTACTCTTTGTCAAGACTTCACTTTTATCAGGGCGCTATCATGAATACTCATCAAACATACTGTAACAATAGAAAGATTTTTCATGACGCTTGACTTAGTTTGAAATAAAATACACTCAGCATCAAACATATGCTTTAATTGCGCCAAATTTGCCGTTGTAGCTTTGTATTTTATCGCCAATCGAATTAATTATCTTAACGAAAGTTTTAATTGTTTATAGACCATACTTTTGTGTTTATATCGTCACTATGCTTCACGCACATTTTGTTCAAATAAGTTTATACTTTACTAGGACCAAATATCCTATTGAGCTCAAATTCCCGACGAATTATTTTCGACGAATATTCCCGACGAAACCTAAAAATGGCCAGTGCTCGCCTCCTCCTTCCAAAAAAAAAAAAAAAAAAAAAAAAAAAAAAAAAAAATCCCATCCCTCACTAAGTCAAGAAATGCCAAGCATATATCTAAAACAGCGGAATATACGGATATTTCTATTTTGCCAGTAGAAGGGCTAAATGGAACTAATAGGGTTTTGTCTATGTGTAATATGAATGAGGGTCAGTTTTGTTTTAAATCCTCTACGAAGGCATTCCTTCCTTAAAACATAATGCCTTCTTGTGCCTGAAACACACATTTCCATACCCCAATGTCTTAATTAAATAAAGCAAACATAACAATGCATTTATAGCATTATTTTATTACTATTATATAGCAAATTATTACCATTATCATACAGCACATGGTTCAACGATGTTCATGTCTTTGGTAATTGCTATTAATCTTAATATATTAGCTCTTGTTACAAAATTTAATTTGATGGTAGCTGAAATTTTAAAACTAAAAGAGTTATAAAAAAGTTGATTGCATAGTTATTAGCCCTCAAATTATTTGGCAATATGCATTTTTCCATACTATCTAGCGTATATCGGTAAAGTATGAAATCCGACATTCTAGAGAATACCCAGTTATTTTATAGAATGCCGAACACTGGTTGGCAATGTATGAAACATCTCACACGTTGTCTGCATATTCTACAGAATCCCAAATGACAAACCAAGAAAGTATGAAATACATCTGTGATTTCGTTTCGAATGAGCGAAACTGCTTACCAGTAGTTAACAAACGATGTAAAATAAGCCCAAATGACTGCTAAGAAGGAACCACTGGACTATTGGTTGATTAATCGATATGGTGTGATGCTTAATCGAAACAAAAGTAAACTTTTTTATTCTTCAAAGGCTTAGTACAATAGAGTATTACGTCATGGACACTGAGGTTCATGAAAATTACTACACTACTATTACGTCATGGACTACACTACTAAATTACTATTACGTCATGGATACATTTGTTATGTATTAATTGTTATTATTTTCAAGATTTAAATTGTTTGCTTACTTAATTCAGTTTTGATCAGTAATTGAAGTTATTAATTTTTGCTTTAGTTTGTTTAAAGTTCGTTGTAAGTTTAAACTGTAACTGTTGTAAACTTTAAATTTAGGTTTGGTTGCTTTGAAAGTTTTCTTAAGTTATTTAATTTTATTTTGAGTTAGGGACTTAAGTTTTACTTGGTTTTTGTACTTGTTTATTTTTTACCCATAAGGTTGTTTAATTATTTTAAAGTTTTGTTGCAGCACTTTTGATGTGTTAATTTTAATATTATTTGAGGTAACATTTTTTACCCCTCTTTCTATTAAAGTTTATCGAATTCATATTTTCTGGCTGGTGGTAAGGTCAATCAATTGTAAATGAAACTCAATCTGGATAATGAGTGTGTATACTTAATTTCCTCTGAAGAAATAATTATAATGTGTTTACATTTTTATGAACTTAATTGTTAAATAATAGATTAATTTTTTCTGTACTAAATTCGTTTATTGTGTTGAAAACTATTCACTGGTTCTGTAATTTTTCACATCCGTAGTTGTCAGCTGAGAATTCGTTTCTCAGAATTCCTTGTCTGAGGATTGCTGCGCCTGAAATTCTTTTGCCAAGCTTTTTAACACATGTTCTGATGACTTCACCATCTGGAAGTTTTACATAAACGGAACCATGTTTTCTCTGGCATCTCTAGCATAGAAATAGCATAGTTCTACTGGGAGATTGTTTGCGTGGAGTGAATATTCGTCGGTTAGTGTGTTCGCCATAGGGAAGTGGTACCCTGAGGCGAGGCATGTGCTTTCCCCCACTTTCCTCAGCAGAGAGAAGGTTGACCCTGCGGAGTGGCCTAGGAGTCTATACCGTTGAACTGCGTCGTTCGTCAAATGCTGGTACTCGGGAAACCACTTCCCGTGAAGATTTCTATGTTCCATCGTTTGAGGTTGCCGTGCTTGGCGTTCGTCCCATCATCATTCTTCGCCAAATATTTGAAGATCTCACTACACAGTTGGGACGAGAGACGAAAAGCGAAAAACAAGAAAGCGAAAAATGACGGCATGGCTGCTGAGTGTCAGACGAAAGCAGAACCCAGGAGGCGAGAGCAAAATTTTCACCGTTGACAACCCCTGCTAAAAGGAAGATTCAAATTTTTTTCACCGAAATAAGAATGAATGTTTGGAACCAGCAGCCCAGGAATCTGCCTGAAGGAAACTAGAATGGCGGAGTTCCTAGACGCCGGCCCCTCAGCCAATTATTAACATTTTTTTTTTTTTTTTTTTTCTTTTATCGTTACAGATCCAGCAACCTGATTATGCAGAATTTTGATCGTAACAAACCGGTATACTATCGGAGGGGCCCTCTCTAATATTTTTGAATGTTAATTAATATATAAGATATGTGCCTGTTTATTTTGACGTGTCAGCTAACCATGTCAACTTTGATCACCGATACCACCCAAAGTAAAAAATAAAATGAAACTGTAAACCTCTGATATCTCTAAATAAACATAAGATTGATTTTACTTACTTTCTGTATTGTTATTAATTTTAATTAATTTGTGACACTGGACCAATATACTCTATTTTACTAGGACTAATTTGCTTTTCACAACGCTAAATATATGATCATATATTGACTTGTTATAATGATATGTGCTTACTTGAATTACTCTTACAAAAATAGTTTACTGATGTTGAACATATTCACACTTTACCATTTTGAATTGTGACATACTTACTCTCAGTCATATGAATATTATATTCTAAGTATTGTGATTGGTGCACATAAAGTTACATGAAATGTTATACCATTCAAATGGCACGCATTATACACCATACATTGTGACGTCGTGGATGCTGCAGTTATAAGGGAAGTAACACTAGTATTGGTGATGCATCACTTTTTCATTCACAACATACACCACAGATACAAAATTTAATTAATACATTTAGAAAACTGTTACGAGACATCCGAGGATGGTGACACATTTAGAGACGTTAAACAAGATGGCATTCGTCATCACTGGACGAATAAAAAGGCTCCACACCTTCGCTCGCAGACAGAGCTTTTTCAATTCTCTCTCTGACAGGCGTCGAAAACACATCTGTTATACTTGCGCATGCACATTCCTCTGTAACGTTATTGCCATCCAGAGTTCTTTATAGGCTGACTCATGCGCATTACTCTGTAATGTCGTTGCGACCCGGAGTTCTTTACAGAGTGACAGCAACGTGTCGAAACTGTTGCAGCAGCCAAATTTATCACCTAGATAGACTTGACTAAAGGTTATTGGTAATTTCCGATGACCCCTAGGGCGCAGGCAATTGCTGCATTTGCTACAAATTTTGTCGTATGTAGACCTTTGGGCATGCCATTTGGGCTTAAAAATGCTCCTTATTATTTCAATAAAATTATGAGCGAAATATTGTGTGGATGTGAGAAATATGCTACCCCTTATTTAGATGATAATGCTATTTTTTCTGAAACGCGGTGGGAACATTTACAACATTTACATGAAATTTTAGAAAGAATAAAAAAAGCCAATTTAACTATTAAACGCTCTAAGGGCAAGTTTGCACAAGAAGAAGTGCAATATCTGTTTCACATAGTAAGTCGAGGAAAATGTTCTCCAGCAGAACTAAAAATAGAAGCGATTCAAAAACTTTCCTGTTCCCACAACTAAAACTGAGATTAGAGCTTTCTTAAGTTTAGTTGGGTACTACAGACAATATATACCTATATATGTTTATATATAAAATATATGTTTTCTGCTATAGCCGCATCATTGACAGATTTTTTAAAAAGAAATAAAAGAAAGGGTAAAATTGCGTGGAATGATGAATGTAATGAATCATTCAAAATTGTTAAAGGAAAAGCTATGTAATAGGTCTGTGCTACATGCACCCGATTTTTCTAAACCATTTATACTACAAACAGACGCATCAGATTAGGAATATGGTGTTCGATAAAGGGAAAGAGCATCCCATATTATAAATCTCAATAAAAAATTTACAGCTAGTGAGAGGAAGTACTCAACCACTGAAAAAGAGTGTATACTATATTAAGATCAATTGAAATTACCAAAGATGTAAACATCTTTGACAAATGTGCTATATAATAATAATAAAAGAATGCTATAAATGGGTTGTGATATTTGCTTGATTTAACTAAGGCATTGGGGTATAGACAAGTGCGCTTCAGGCACAAAAAGGCTTTATGTTTCAAAGAAGGAATGGCTTCGTAAAGGATTT